GCTATGGAGTCACAGTTCACAGCAACCTCAAACTCTTGGGCTTAAGCAATTCTCTTGCCTCAGTCTCCCAAGTAGCTGGGCCTATAGGCACCCATCATAACACCCAGTTACTTTTTCTTTTTGTTGCAGTTGTCATGGCTGTTTAGCTGGCCTGGGCTGGGTTCAAACCCGCCAGCCCCAGTGTATGTGGCTGGAACCCTACCTACTGAGCTTCGGGTGACGAGCCAGACTTCTGCCTCTTTTGTACATTATAGCATCTTAAGATTTTGTTATTTTAAAATAAACTGCCATACTTATATTTGTTATTTAAAGAGTTTTCATTACAATATCTACAATTTCCTTATTTATTTATTTATTTATTTAAACGAAAGGTTTAACTTATTCTATTTTATTTGCAGTTTTTGGCCGGGGCTGGGTTTGAACCCGCCACCTTCGGCATATGGGGCCAGCACCCTACTCCTTTGAGCCACAGGCACAGCCTTCCTTATTTATTTATTTACTTTTTTAAGGCAAGCATGAAACAAAATTTATTAAGGAAGAGAAAGATAGGCTTACAGACTAAGAACATTTGCAAAGCAGGCTGTGTTTGCCATAGACAGTGACGGACCTTTACTGCCAGGACAAATAGGCAAAGAGGCCAGTTTGTACTTTTTTTTTTAGACACAAGATCTTGCTCTGTGACCCAGGCTGGAGTATTGGGGCACAATCAGAGCTTCCTGCAGCCTTGAACTACTGGGCTCAAGGGATCTTCAGGGAGTAGCTGAAGTTATAGGTGCATGCTATTATTCATGGATAATTATAAAAAAATTTGTAGAGATGGGGTCTCATATTGTTACCCAGGTTGGAGTGCAATGGAACAATCATAGCTCACTCTAACCTCAAACTCTTAGCTTCAAGTGATCCTTCCACCTTGGCCTACCAAAGCTCTGGATTGCAGGCATAAGCCACCCTATAATTTCTTTTTATATTAATGTACATATGTTATAAAAATTTTCCAATTTGGTGGTGCTGAGGTGGAGGGTGGTGACTTACCGATGAATATATTCACCAGGGTTATGGTAATTGCTACTGGAATCCCAGTCAATAAAATGTAGAATCTCTGTTAAGAAAAAATAAAAAGCTTTTCTCTTGTCTATTTCCTAACTTTCCCCACCCTCAAATCATCCTCATCCACATCCTCATAATGTGATTTTGTTATATTTCTCATAAAATAAACTTGCCAAATTGAGATATAGTATCAAATTATTGATTTCTTGTGATTTTTTGTTCTAGTATTTAGATGCTTTTATCTAACACCAAAAATAAAAGACAAAGGATTAACTGCAAAAATATAATACGTTATATATTTAAATGACTTTTTAGTAATAGCAATGCATGTAAGTTAAAAAATATCATATTAAGAACCAAAGTGTAATAACATTAGGGTGATCACTACCACTACACAGGGTTTGTGTTGGTCTTAACAAGAAAAACAGGAGCTCAATCAACTGGATGGGTTGGGGATGGACTGAAGGATGAAGAGTAGCATTAAACAAAATGGGAAGGCAAGAGAATATCTCAAGGGCAGCTGGTACTCAAATGCT